CTTTTTAAATCTACATAGCACATGTATGCTGGTTTTCCATATTCGATAGACTTCTCTATTATTTGTCTGATAATACAAATTGCGTCTATTGTGCTGCAGTTCTTCCGGAAGCCTTGTTGTTCATCTGCCATGTTCGCTTTTTCCTCGATTTTATCTTTTATGACTGTCGTTAACAATTTTAATGTACTATTCATCAGACTAATGCCTCGATAATTTTCAGGATTTCTCGAGTCTCCCTTTTAAGTATCGGTAGCAGGAAACTTTCAGTCCATTCCGCTGGTACTACTCCGGTATTTATTACATTGACGAATAATTTTAGGAGCCATTTGCGTAATGATTCTTTCTCTGTTCTCTTCTTCTCCTTCTCCATATAATTTCGTGAAATGCTCAGTCCATTGTTCCTCTGTAATGTTATTTATGCGTACAAATTAATTCATTTCTGTTTTTTGTTCATTCATTTCCTTATCATCTTCCACACCTTTTTCTGGGATATAGAGGTTGTTTTCCATTTCTTTGGTAAATTTCTCCAAGTGTTCGTTTTTGATGTTATCTATTTCTTGGTTTACTCTATTCCTGATTCTCACGTAGTCTTCTCAAGCCTACAGTGTCTTCACTTCTTTGTATGTTAGGAAAGCTTGTTTCTTTTCATTTGCTAGTGCTTTCACCCTTTCGTCGTACCATGGAGTTTTGTATTCCAGTTTATTTCTGTTAACTTTTCTTTTATCTAAAGCTTCTTCCGCTGCTTGTAGGATACATGTTTTAATAAAAACTGAACTGAACATACTGAATCTTGTTTTACTTGCCAAAAATTCTAAACATTGCTGAATTTTAAGCTTGTCCCATACAGTTCAAAAAGTTCAATTCTAAACTACTCAATATCAATTAATTCATGAAACTTATTAGTTATTTAAATAGATGTCTGAACTTTTAGAACTATTTTGCACAAGCTGATTGGATTTGTCCAAATTTCTGAACATTTTCTCATTCAAAACATCGAACGTGTATTCAAAATTCGGTTGGAATCGCTATAAACGCTTGTAGTCGTGAATCTGCACTGATTGTCCCCACGCCCCCCACAGACCACTTTGTGGTGGCCCCAAGACGCAAGTTATCTCGTCTATGAGGCATGAGCGGCCTTCACAGGATATGTTGCGAGATTTGTCGCAGCCTGTAAAAGTCTGTAAAACCTGATAAAGAAGTAACCCGAGAGTATCACTAAATATATCTATTAACGTCTGTTTAAAAAAGCGTTGAAATAACAAATGGGATTTCTTTAAGTCTACAGCTTTTGAAACGTAACCCTTATATAGAGAGATGTGTCGTTTTTCAAATGCTGAATATTAGACTTTATACTTATATTATAATCTATTATATGACACTTGATGTTTTTATTCAGACGAACGATAAAAAATGGTCATCAATTGCGGTTGTGCACCTTAGGCGTCCTTGACCAGGCATTCGTACAAAATTGCCTGTCTCATGGTACCTTTTTAAAATATTCTAAACTGTAGATTGACTTCTCCTGAAACGCCGTGCGATATTTTTTTTTTTGTATAGGTATCCTTCCTCGTACAATATTGCAATCTGTGCTGCTTGGGCTTCATCACAGTGTCGAATTGGTGGCATATTTGTTTTAAACTTACTTGAATCAAAACAATATGTAATTAAACATAGATTAAACTAAAAATAACCAAATTACTATGGTTTTTACGTTAAGTGAAGAAGGTTTTTTATGATAAAATGTACGAATGACACTATACGCTAAATAAACGTCAAAATATTTCAAACCAATTGAGTACATCAGCCTACTATGTAAGTAAAATCAGCAATCTAATATATTTTGAAATAATAGTGACTACAAAAATTGAAAAATTCAAAACTACTCGATATTTTTGTCCATGAGTTTAGTATACAAATAGACGGCTGAAATAAATCTAAACACTTCACTTTTTCACTTACCTCAAAATACACGAACATTCCATGCATTTGAAACATTTCTTGTGGTAGGTGTGGCCATGGACAGCTATTTTCTCTAGGGGATATACCTTTTCCCCGCAGCTTTCGCATAGTTCAGTAACACTTGGTAATTCCTTTGTTAAAATAAAAAAAAATGATTGAATTAAATTTTGTGAAGTTTAAATTTTCTCAAAAACGTTTTTTTTATACGAACTGTAATAGGAATTTTGGATTCTTAAGCTTTTTTAGTTGGGAAGCTAATCTCTTTTTGATCTGTTATTTCTCTCTTCGGAGTGTATTATTAAAATATGATATAGCAGTGCAACAGAAAGTGAAAAAATGTGTAGTCTCTGTTTATTACCTTCAGGTTGGTCATGCAATTTTCTGGAGGACATCTTCTTCTTAGGGTGCCTGTCCTTTCCGAACGTTGGCGATCATTCTGGCTATGATGATTTTGTTGGTTGCTATACGAAATAGCTGTGTTGAGGTCTTTCTATACCATGCTCTCAAGTTAGCAAGCCAGGATATTCTTCTTCGTCCTGGGGCTCTTTTTCCTTCAATTTTACCCTGCAAAATGCATTGGAGTAGCTCGTATCTACCTGGATTTCTGATTATATGTCCCAAGTACTCCAGCTTACGGCTCTTCACAATGTTGGCCAAATCCGCGGTTGTGTTCATCCTCCGCAGTACTTCTTCATTGGTGACTTTGTCTGTCCATGGTATCTTCAGGATTCTTCTGTATAACCATAATTCAAACGCCTGAAGTTTTGATAGAGTTTCCGCCTTCAATGTCCGCGTTTCTACTCCATACAGAAGCACTGAGTACACGTAACATTTAAGGAGCCTTATTTTTGTTTTCAGGGTGAGGTCATGGCTTTTGAACACAGATCTCATAGCCAAAAATGCACTTTTGGCCTTTCCGATGCGATATTTAATCTCTTGGGTATTGTCCCATGACTCATTGATTAATAGTTCCCAAGTAATTGTATTGTGAGACACGTTTAATTCTCATTTGGTTCACATACAGATTTGCTCCAGTTATGTTTTGATTGCTGATGATCATTACCTTGGTTTTGTTGGTGTTTATATCCAGTCCATAGGTTCTACTTGTTTCTGTTATTTTGTTCATTAAGTTTTGCAGCCCTTCTATGGTATTGGAAAACACTATTGTATCATCTGCATACCACAGGTTATTAAGCTTGACTCCATTTATTGAGATGCCTTCATCAATATCTTTTAGGGCCTCTTCAAAAATGTGCTCCGAGTACAGATTGAATATCAGTGGTGAAATTATGCACCCGTGTCTCACTCCTCTTAAGATTTTGACCTGTTCTGTATATTCTCCATCTATTCGGAGTACCACTGATTGATTCCAATACAGATTAGCTATAATTTTTAAGTCTCTTCCATCAATCCCTGTCCTCTTCAGCACTTCCATCATTTGTTCATGCCTGACTCTATCGAAAGCCTTCTTGTAGTCAATCAGGCATGCAAAAACATTACAGCTGACATCTCTACATTTCTGAAACAAGATCTGCACGCTAAATAAAGCTTCCCTCGTAACAACGGCGTTCACAAATCCAAACTGATTGGGCGCAATTTGTTCCTCGCATTTCCGGTAAATTCTTTTGTGGATGACCTTTAAAAACAGCTTCAGCAGACGGCTCATTAGGCTTATTGTCCTATAATCTTCACAAACTTTTGCTCCTGGTTTTTTGGGCAATGGTACAAATTCCGATTTGAGCCACTCTACTGTTAATTTTTCCTGCCTTGTATATTTCATTAAATATATCAGTTATTATTTTTATTTGTTGTGTATCTAATAGCTTCAGCAGTTCAGATTTCGAGACCTGAATTTTCTTCAACGGTGGGCTCTTGTACTGTTCTAAGGTCATGGAAACTGGAGGACATAATAACATGACAAACGAAAGTGGCTAATCGACAAGCACCATCTAGGCTAGCGTTGATGTTAGTTATGAACTTAATATTGTTCTGGAGCCATTTTTTGTTAATAGCTTTTTCCTTTTCAGTATGTACACCACTTTGGCAAAGATTTCTTTTATTCTCAATTATTTTAAAGGTTCCATCTCTTACCCAGTGTTATTATTTAGTTACCCACTGGGTTATTTACCTTTGGGCGATTAATTGGTGTTGTTACACAATGTTTAATGGTCTCCCATATATCTTGGGATATACCCTTACCAATAGAGTAATTTTTGGATGTTGTCCTTTTTCTTAGTTCTATCCTCTTTGTCTCACTCCGTTCGTTGCGCGCTTTAAGTTTGAGCTTTACTTTAGCTACGAAGAGAGTAAGATCTGAACCACATATCGCCCCTGGATATGATCTGACTGTTTGGATTGATAATCTCCAGTAAATATTAGTGAGGATGTAGTCAATTTGATTTCTAGACCTATCTCCAGGACTTTTCCAAGAATATTGTCGGCGTACATGGTGTTTAAATCGAGTATTAGTTATTTGTCGATTAAGCGGTCTCTGATATGGGCTGGTATATCTTCACTCAAAATTCAAAATGAGCCAACTTGGATACATCAAGGCAATTACATGTCTTCTCTCATCCTATCTAGCCAATATAAATCAAAGTTCAGGGTTCAGATAGGATACGTCCTATCTAAAGTCGGAATGATTGAGACAGGAGTGCCTTAGGGAGGAGTTCTGTCACTCTTTCTATGTAGGTACTATATGTACCGCGGACACACCAACCACCCCCCAAACTCATCACACACCTATGGAATATATTCTTTTAACGTTTCACTCATATACTTACTGAAATAAAACGTATTATGCCTATGTTTTATGGCTCTCGAAGATTAGTGCTCTGAGAATTTACTCTACAATATTTTTAAAATACACTATATTTTTTTATTACCATAAAAATTTTCCCATTATAATAAATTAAAATAAAATGAAAACATATGAAGCCAGATGTATACCATGGTGCATGATGAGTATAGCTCCAGTGATAACAAAGTATAATTTAAGCGTTTGTGATGGTTGCATTTTGTTGATAAATGAAAACTCAATAGACATTAAAAAATTCAGTTTATTTCACTCAAAAATCAGTATAAATTGGCACAAATTACATAAATTAATTCTTTAAAATATCATAATCTCATAACCTAGAAAATTCTCAATCATATCAATAGACGTTCAGATTTTTTGGTTTGATTTCACAGTTGTTAACATCTAGATTTTTAAAAATTTTACCAAAATATCCAACAATTAGACTTTTTTTTAACATAAACGAGAACATACAACAAAATAATCTCTACCTACTATCAGTATATAATAATCACTTTAAAATATGAACTTTTTTTATTTAAAACAAGCGCTAGAATAGAAAAAACTTAATAAAATACCTAGATATTTAATATAAAAATGACCATCTAGAGTTACTGTTTTTTGTTAAATCTAAAGGTCCTATCTACATGTTTTTCAGTATTACAAACTTTCGCTAAAGGTTGTCGCGCACTTGCCAGAAACGAATCGCCAAGATGGGGATAATAATTAAAAGGCAATAAATTTGAGAAAAGAATATCAATATCAATCACCAAAACACATCGTAGGCAATAGTAGATTGGCGAAAAAAAAAAAACGAAAAGAAAATATTATGACATTGGACACCTGACAGCGAACTTCATGCAAAGTATACAGACTGAGCTATCGCGATTCACAACGGGCAAGTAAGTGACAACCTTTATATAAAGACCACCTTGTACTTTTCGAGTACTTTCTCACTACACCGCTAACAGGATTTAAAAGTCCTCAAAAATGTCCAATAAACGCGCTACAAAATACAAGGTGTCTTACTGTAAATTATACTAAATAGCATATAGGGTGACACACAGCGAATTGAATGATCAACATTTCAAAAAGGTATCCAGTTTCGGAAGTTGTCATATTGTATTTCTCCAGGTTTTAATGTGTTTGTTCTAAATTTCAAGTCAATTGATTTTATGTATGTAAAATGAAATATTCTTCCCTTTCCTTATTTATCATTGTAGTAGGACAAAAAACATGTCACAAAGAATATTTTTCATGGGTTTAAGCATTGCAGGAGAATTAGGTGTTTTAAATCTACACTAGATGTCATTAGTATCATAGTAATAAACCATTTTTGAGAGGTATGTGAATCATATCGCTGTCTTTCACCCTTTTTAACAAAATTGTTATTTTTAACACAGTTTTTTCAGAGCATTATTTAATTCTGCGTAATTGAAAGAAAACACAACGACAATAGTACAAAACATTTTATCTAAGCTAAATAATTAAACGTCAATTTCTCACTTGAGTTATGTTATTATATCAGAAGTTGAAACCATTTCTTTGATTCAATCAGATATGAACATTTCTGTATTTGCTACAGAGTAATTATGAGCAAAAATGCAAAGAATTAATTTTGTTAGTGAACTGAAACGGAGGAGTCCTTTAGAATCATATTATACACTATAAGAGAGAGTATACTTATAGAGAGTAATGAACAGTATCGATTTTAAATAGGTAAAAACACATAAAATAGATAAAATTAAAATGATATCAAGTATGGATTTAATCGAAAATTTAAGTGACAGAAAAATTGGTCTATAATGTACGTTCAATCATTAAACATCAAAAGTAGGTAGATAAGAATAAAAAATTGGACAGGTTATGAAAATATTAGCAAAGAAATTGGTTTCAAGGCTTCAAAAGTTTTATATTCATATATTAGTATTATGAAAAGTGTACATAGAGCTCAGTTATTAGTACTTTAAAATAATTTTGCCGTACAAATATTTTTTAAAAGAGAAGAGAAAATAAGAATCTTTTTAATTTATAATTCTATAATTAAAAATCAAAAACGCGTTTAAATTGACAGCTTGATGTAATTTTGATAAATTTCATAGTGGGGGTAAAATGACTTGGTGGTATACAGTATTGGTATAGTGCAGGTGAAAAAAGTGCTTTTATGGGCTTACATTTTTACAATTATCAACCCTCTTCATAAAACCCTTCATTATCAACCCCTCTTCACTATCAACCCTCTTCATATTTAAATGAAAACCAAAACGGATTTAAAATTGACTAAAACGTGATGACTATAAGTACTAGTTGAATAAAATTTGCAAAAAAACAGTTATTCATTGAGCGAAAAGGACTTCTAGGACTCCAAAATTTGAAGTAATTTTACTAGAGATGCGCCAACCTTAAAAATAAAGGTTACCAATTTTTATCAAGGAAAATATGTATAGTCTAATAAGGAGTAAAAGAATAATTTTGATGGTAACATTAACAGGAAATAATACACAAAGTACAAACGAACTAAATTTTGGCAATCAAAAATTATATCTAACCGCAAATGTATATACTAAAAATATAGGTAATCACCCCATGAATCAAAATGACACAAGCTGGACAAAACTGTGAATCCGTTTTCTGCTGGTACTAACAACTGAGTAAAAACGTTAAAAATATATAAAAATATACTCAATACATCGGATAAAGTAATTTGATTGTGCAGAGTTACATTAATACATTCACAATTGATTTAAAATGACGTAACCCTATCCACAGCAAAAATGACATGCATAAATTGGTGAGATAATCGACAATTGAAATTGTTCGAGAAGTCTACTGTCTACGGTAGTTCGAGAAGGAACCGTACGTGGCGCTGGCGCAACAAGAAGTACAGCGTAATGACAGTACAAAGTTTGTTTTTCATTAATTACTAGTAGATTCTTTAATACAATTAGGCTTAAAGTGTTTGGACGACTCCATTCAGTATTTTTCATTCACTGAAAAGGGAAAGTTTATGTAGTATGTCTAGTTTTTTCCTTCAAATGATTTGTACTCACATAATGTTAAATTTTAGTTCGTTTTGAAAAATTTTATCTTAATCAAAATAACGAAGTTACATATAAAACATTTTCTACTTTCAATGGTCATTTGGTATCAGGAATGAGAAATTTCCAAAGAAATATTGATCAAAATAAAAACAAAAGATGCGCAGATCTAATGTAAATTTACTGTGTTGCATAAACAGCTAAATAGCCAAAACAGCGACCTGTGCAAGTTTAAGGAATTACAAATACGGCCACTTATGCCTTATTGACAAATAAATCATTAGTATTTTAGAGTTTTTTTTCGTAAGCTATTAACATAGTAAAATTAATACTCAATAATTATTGTAACCATTTTATAATATATTTATTATGAATGCGGTAATGTTTTTAAAGTTTAAATCTTAGATGTAATTAGGCACCAGGAACCAGGAACTAACAAATAAATCTACAATCTACAATGTAAGCAGTATATGAACCGCTACAGTAGTAAACACAAATTACAAGAAACCTAAACTAACATAACCTAACTTAACACAAGAAATTCAAATTCAAATTCAAAGAAACACGAGGAGCGTATTTAAATTATAATCATAACAAACACAAGAAATTTACAGCACTGACTACAAAAATACAGGAACGAAATTAAAACACTAGCAACACATATGGACACTGGCAAATTTTCTCTTCAAAAATAGTAGTCAACTTATACAGACTGCAAAGACAGATTAGCAGATAGATAAAACACAGGAAATCATAGAACAGCAACAGTGTGCCATAAACAGACAAAATATATCTTAGTACCGATTGGACCACTGGAAATAATGGTAACATCAAAAAATACTAACAAAAAAAAAACATTTATATGTCAGATAACACCAAACAATTACAGAGGAATAAACCTGGCCCGAATTTGACCACAAAAATCATAAGCAACAAAATTATCATCGAAGTTGAACAAGTAAGCTTCGGATATGTAATGTTCTAATTAAAACGTCATTGAAATATAATTTCTGTCTACTGGTGATTTCTTTTTCTTCAAATTGACATTTTTATCAGCGGAGGTTCATAGCAATTACGGCAAACTGTGTGGGGTTTTTATATATTTACAAAAGGCATTTGACCCCATAGAACTTAGCGACGTTTAGTCGAACTTAGCGAACTTAGCGTTTATATAATAAAACTTATTATATAAACGAAAGATACGGTCAGATCCTATTAAAACAAATGAAAACATATATAGCAGAACAAACTAACTGAGTCTATATCGGTCGAGACAGGAATAAGTCCAGGAGACTCACGAAGTCCTCTTCTGCTCACAACATCGTTGTGAACGAAATTATCAACAATATTCGAAATATAGATGTAAGTTATAAAAATAGTGGAACAATGACATCTATTGCACACACTGGTATACTTATCGGAGAGAATAAAGATGATTTGCAGAGACTCCTTTATGAATATTATCCAACAGCCAAAATAATTAATATAAAAAAATGCCGACAAAAAAAGCCATGGACATATCCAAAAATCGAATAAAATGTAAGCTATCAGTCGATGGCACAATAATTTAACAAGAAGCTTGTAACCACTTCGCAATGACAATGAAAATACTGAAACGTAAATTGTGTAACAGATATGTAAAGTCAACAGAATTGCGACATGTCATAAATATACAATCTGGACCGATAAACATCTACGAACAAATACAAGTCCCAAAAAATCTAGGGCAACAGTCAGCTTAGTTATGACCTATACTGCAGTTACAAGATTCAATACCAGGAAAATAAAAATGAAAATGTGTGAAACAAAGATAATCAGAGATATCACACGAAAAATACTATGAGACAGACAATGTAATAGAAATCTCGGGCAAGGTATAACCGAGATAACATAAACGACTGGATACTAGACAAAAAAGGAGTTTTACAGCCATATTATTAGAAAGATAAGCTTCAGATCCATAAAAATAACACGAGTAAATCAACAAACCGCCGAAGAAGTAAAGGCTAAGAAAACGAAGGCATTCAAGTAAAAGGCGCAATACTATCAAAGAACAAGGAAGAAAATCAACTCGAATCTGTGTAATTTATTGGGAATAAATTCTTACATATTTCAACTTTGTTTAACCTTTTCTCAGTGTTAGATATATTTGCCATACTGTTAAAGGTTATTTTTATAACCTACATACAGACATGAGTGCTAGATCGTCATCAGGAAACACTACTGTTACAAAGCATTTTTATTGACACGATACGACTCACGTATGCTTGCACCAATCTGAAGATCGTTGAGCAGTTCAGATAGCTAGTGTGCAGCACATTTGGATTCAGTTCAAGATAGGATGCAATGGAATTATTTATGGAAGATAGGATGAGGAAGATAGGATGCAATGGAAAACTTATTGCAATCTATTCAAGATTGCCAACACACATAAACTAACTTTTTTACAAAAACTTAATAATTATTTGCCATGAACAGTAGAACAAATTGAGGAACTGCATGTTGTAACAATGTTAGCGTGTCTTCTTGTCTTTTATATGAAAATCTTGTTTTTGCGCAAAGATGTTCTGGGTGAATATTGACGGAAACTTTTTTTCAAAAAAGTATCGTATCACTTATAAAATTACAAATATTTCTGATTTCTTTCTGGCCCTTAAGAATATTAAGGCTAGAATAAACATATACAGTTTGCGTTTAATTTAAAATTTCGTATTAAATATTGAGTATGGAAGGTCGTGACAATATAAATTTAAATTTAACGAGAGATCAAGTGGTTAGAATAATTTCCCTTATTGAACACGGAAGGAGTAAGAGATATGTGGCAAATTTAGTGGGTGTAAATCAGACGACAGTATCGCGAGTGGTAGTAAGGTACCGAGTGAATGATCTTTATGAAAGACGAGCTGTAACAGGTCGGCCAAGAACAACTACACATGTGGACAACAGACTTTTAGTCCTTCAGGCTTTGCGTCGAAGACATGTGAAAGTCAACTTCAACATGACTTAGCTGAGACTCGAAATGTACGTGTATCTTCAGAAACTGTTAGGCACATCTTAAGATAGTCTGGAATTAGGGCCACTGCCCCGCGACTGCCTCTCCGTGCGGCTCGTGGAGATAAGAATACGGCCGAGGCCAGAAGACCCTGCCTGTCGTAAGGGGCGACTAATGGGTGGACCATGAGAGGTGGAGAGCCGTCGTTCGAGGGTTTGTAGAAACGCACTCGAGATGCTTAGCCATCTCGGTCATCGGTTTACATTCCTAATATCCGAGACGAGCATCTCATGGGACCACTCTACTCTCATTTCCACAAAAGCCCGGAGAGGTTGAATGACCTCACTCGTAAATACCTCCAACGGCCTTACACCACCGAGGGTGATGTGGTGACCCGGCACGTACCCACCTGGAATGATTTACGAGTGGTAGAGGAGCGATTCCTCGGCGGTGACCTGTCTACGTGCGAGGCGGATTTCCTCCGACTGCGTCGCTTTTCCACCCTCTGGAGGGGGGGGAGGGGGCTCCGGACGGGTGACGTACCCGCAACACAGGTACTACGGGTAAGGTGGATTCCCACGATGTTTCGGTGTCGGACTCATAGGGGCAGTGGTAACGCTTACGGTCGTATGCCGAAAGGCCAGGAAGACCAGGGTCCAGCCAATTTTATAATTGGAGGGTACACGAATTAATCAATCAATGCCCCGCGACTTACAAGGAAACACCGTATAGCACGTCTAACATTTGCAAGAGAGCACGTAAATATAGACTATTTGCAAGAGAGCATACTCTTTCCGGATGAGTCAAGAATACCAGTTTATAGACGAGATGACGAGCGCTATTTTCAATGCACCTAAGACCAGCGACAAAATTTTGGAGGAGGTATTGGTACAGCTAGATGGAGGATCCGTAACTGCTGATAGGTACATTAGAGAACTTTTGGAGATGCATGTTGTTCCTTACGCCCATTTATTTGTAATGAGAGGTTAAGAATCGTTACCCGGTACCTTCAAGAGGTAAATTTCCAAGTTTTGAATTGGCCAGCGCACAGCCCGGACTTAAATCCAATAGAACATGTTTGGGACCATCTTTACAGAAGGGTGAGATCTGGTAATATGACGCCAGCTAATCTTGAGGACCTGCAACGGTTGTTAACCGTAGAATGGGATAATATCGATCAAGATTATCTAAGAAGATTAATTGGAAGTATGCCACAACGATGTCCAGATTTTATAAGAGCTAATTAAATTAAATAAAACATTTGTTTTTCGTACATTCTGCATTTTTCTTTTAATACTTGTTACGTACTTAACCAAAAACAAAAACAACAGTAAAAAATCCATGTTATAAATTATTTTTAATACAAAATTTGCAGTTTCGTATGTGATGCGATACTTTTTTGGCGGAGTGTATCTATCCACGCATGCTTTAAAAACTCACACGACTGACACTTCAAACCAGTACCGTTGCGCGTTAGCTGTCTTTTATTTTATTTTTGATATCTCGCGTTTTTACCAGCAGGCAACTCTAATTTTCTACCATTTCTTCTCAGGCGAACTTATATCATCATATTAAGCAAAAAATTAGCCTTAATTTTATATAAAAACATGTATATACGTCATGAGCAGGGTATTTTATTTAAAAAGAAATTAGTACATTGTTTACCGGGTAGGAAAAGCTTAACATTCCTGGACGACTGTGAAGATTGCTAAGTCGAGGCGCAAGCCGAGACTTAGCAACACAGAGTCCAGGAATGTGGCTTTTCCTACGAGGTAAACATACTATTTTTCCGCAAATCGTTTAAAATTCGACAGATATTGATTGATTTAAAAAAAACGCGATAATTTTATTCCCAAATAAATGGTGCTTTGAAATTCCTAATAAAATTACTTGGGTTACTATGGAAACGTATTGAGGTTGAATTGTCAAACTTGACGCTTATGTATGTAGAAAACTAACAACTGTACGGAAATATCATTTCCTTACAGTAAGGAAATGACATTTTCTTACAGTAAGGAAGTCCTGACTTTTTCTTCAAGAAATTTTGACAGGAATGTCAAAATTTCCTGGTGATTTGCGGAAAACATATTTTTTTTAATGTCCAAAAGTTGTTTCCCTACTTTAGTATTTATCTATTGTTCTGTAATTATTATTCAAGTGGTATATTTTTATATAATAAGTTTTCTTTTAAAAAAGGAAAAACGAGTACAAATCATCGAACAATCTAAACGACCTCCACAAATACTTCTAAAAACGTTCATGCATAAAAGAACAAAACAAAATGTTATCTATTAGTGCACACAAATCAACAAAATGCAAACACCAAATACAATAAAATAAAAAGTTAAAAATATTAATTTCGGCGTGGTGATTTAATGTCAGTTTATGTTTTTATGGGTTTTATTTAGTGCATAAGCAAATTAAGTGATGGTACGATGGATTCTCATTTAGTCAAAACAAAATACTAATATTTTTATTTAAGAACACAGAATATTCAGGCAGGTGGATATTAAGTAAGTCTTGTAGATGATGCCACAGAAGAACATGAAGCCAACTATTATTTTTCTAGCCTTGAGTTAATTATGCAGCAAAACAGTGTCAAGTTTTTGAGGATACCTACACAGAACAAGATGGCAGTCTGACCGTAACAAATCCGAGACATCAGAATAATTTCCCGTATACAAATAAAATCCTTCATATTTTGCATATAGAGCTGCTATAAATCCGTACATAATTACGAATAGTTAATCCACTCGTTTCTTGGCATAGACAAAATTCATGTTTAACAGTATCTTCTGACATCTGGAACCTATAACCATAGCATACATAGGCGTATCCATTTTTTTAGTCTGAGCGTTAATAATGACAATCGCTCCCTACCCTGCCACTCCATATACTTTTTTTTTAATTTGCAACAATTAAATTTTCATATATGAAAAACAGTTTACCACTAAAAGGCAACTCAGATGTTCCAAACGGTCTTGCAGTATTGTAGATCGAAGTTTACTCGATCTTTGAACTAGAAAGTTAGGGTGAGCTCCTCGGCACCCGCTGTGGTTACGCCTCTGCCTATAACCACGTAGTCCATCCTTGATTTTTGGAAAATAAATTAAAAAATCTTTCTGAGTTAGGTCGCAACTATGTAGATGGAGAAATGTTTAAATATTAGACTTTTGTTCCGTCAAAAATTTACACAACGAGCTGTGTTCGAACTTGAACTATATTGGTCGAGGATGATTCACCACTTGGGATTTGTTTTTTGAGGCTTAACAATGACCTGCTGCAAACAAATAGTTGCATACCAATCGCTAATAATAGTTCTTTGATCTTTTGCTATATTGCTTAGTTTCCGAGACAAATGCGCGATCAACTCTTTGGAGATTCCTGTATTAAAGCGGTCTGGAGTTTTTTGAGACCAATTCATCGTAGTTGCTTTCTGTTCTTCGGTCAATAGAAACTGTATCCAACGGTAAACTAATTTTTTACAGACAATCTATATTTTTAAATGCGATTTTAGAATTCCTCAATGATGCCTCTATTTCGCGAATTTCAGGCGAAAGTTTGTGCACAGCATCAATGTTTTCTTGTTTGTCCACGTTTGGATTCTCAATGCTAATACGAAATTGTTAACTACCGTACTGTTTTCATTACCGAAAACAGAAACAAACTCTAAGAAACATTCTTGCTGAAATAATTGGTTTCGAAAATTATAAATGTTATCGATTTAATTTTATTTTTTGACCGGCTTGTCAACTTTGATAGTTCATAGCAGCTATGTTCATCATCATCATCATCAATGGCGTTACAACTCTTCGTGAGTCTTTGTGTTTGTCTATTCGGTGCCACTATTTCCCATAGTCTTACTCCCATTTGCTCCAGATCCTTTTTGACTACATCTTTTCCACCTTATTCTAGACCTTCTTAGAGATATTCTCCCATCTGGTTTTTCCCAATACACATTACTTATTAAGCCATTGTCGTTACTGCGTATCACATGCTCTGTCCACCTTAGTATGCAAAACATAAAGACACTCCACGTATTTTCATATGCCATTCAATTCAACCAAAATTATGATTAATTTTATATAATATTATAGTCATCCATTATTGTACTAATGACGTAAAGAGATAAACAACCAGTTATGCTTCATCAAGATTAAATGAGTTCTTCTAGTGCGAATAGCTTATAAGAAAGTCTATATACTATTGCGTTAAGGGGATCTTCCACTATAGTGTTTTGTTATTTAGTGTTGCAACTTTTCATTACTGTTAAATTAAATATTAAATGGAAATAGGCGCAGTCCTCACCTATCTTCACGCAGGATTAATGTGCTTTTCCTTTCACCTTTCATCAAAAACTAATTATTCACTTAGTTTTGGGTAACATATATAATTGTAATATATTCACGGCCTGGGAGGGTCATTATTCCTTTGTGCTTTATTTACCTTTTTGTATTCTCTTATTGATCATACAATATTTCGTTGGTTAATTGTCGCTTTGTGTCATCACCTTTGTAATTACTTTTAACTATAAATTAAAGTTAAAAGTTGCAATTAAATGTATATGAAATATTCTCTATTTAAATACAGTTTCCTTGCTTATTTTTTTTTGTTTCATAATATACATACTCCTACATACGATGTATGTGGAGAGAAACAAGCGTTGTTGTAGACTGAACCTATATATCCAGACTTCCTTTCTGATGTCCTCATATATTATATAGAGGTCATTACATGAGAAGAAAGCATCACTTAGTTCTTTAGATTAAATACAATTATTATAGTCTTCTCTTACCGTTTTCTACAGTAAAATATTCACATAACCAAATAGTATTTTGTTCTGAATGAATGAGAATGACCACGTTATTTTTGCGACGATGGAAAAAATGAGCATGGTTTTTCTTAAGGTTTGTCACGTGTTCTATATAATTGCCTACAAAAGATTGTTAGTACAAAATATATTGGATTTCTTAAAAAACGACGAAAAAAAAAACTTGTTAAAATAAATATAGAAACTAGAAGAATGAAAAGAAACCGTGCCTTCTATTTATCATTAATATTTTTATAAACCGACTAATACGGTTAACAAAGCCAGAAAATAACATAAAAAGGTTACTGATAGTTCTACTGCCAATGGAATATATCCCTATACCAGTGGAAACTGCACCAGGGGTTATTCAGAAACAACAGAGAACAGTATAGATCATAGGGCGATCTAAACATTTCTTGCTTTAACCCATAATAATATAAGGTTTCCACAAATGGATTTTTTTAGTTTTTTTTTAGGCTGGTAAACTTGTTAAAGACTCTGTTATTTCTCTTTTACTAGCGCAGTGCAAGCGCTTATAAAAGCGTTTTACCTATAGAAAGATTTAAGATATTATTTATTGCATCATCCTGCATAATCACCAGGTTTGGCTCCTGCTAACTTTTATCTATCCTAGATCATACGAAGTTTGTGGTGAGCATACATTTTGGACCAAATGACCAAAAGTGCAGAAGTAAATAGATATTTTAAAGGCTTCTAAAATTGTGTGACAAGTGTATTAAATCAAAGAATGAAGAAATTAAGGAAAACATTTATTTCTGATATAGCAAAATTGTTTTTTACTATTAAAAAAAAACATCTTTCAATATTACCCTCAAATTATAGGCAATAAGATCTTTAGACGTTAAAGAAAATTCCAATGCAACAACCATCATAGTGCAGCCACGACGTTAGTGACTAGCGATGATGTTAGCAAAGCGTCTAAAACCGCGTCGCTCAATAGAAACGCATATATAATGTAGTAGAGCGATTCATTGTGCGGTTTTTAAGTGGGCACAAAACTCAATCATGTGTATCAGTTGCCAAGATACTGTCGGGTAGTGAAGTTAAAATTCTTCTTTCTAGTGAGCCGGTTCTAGATACGCTGTACATCCAAGTAATAAAAGAACAACAAAATGTGAAGCCTACTACACACAGTCTAACATCCTTGAGAAATAATTATTATTTTATTCGGAAAGTGTGTGCTCACAATACCAAGACAACCACTGACAACCTTGTCATGCGTTAAAGAAATAAAATTTTAAATCTAGTAAAGTGGCTATGTTACAACGACGAACTCGTCGCTCCTCTATGTATGCACCAGAGGATTGAAATACCATTGCCTTAAGTTAGTTGCGTTTCTAGTCTCAAACCTTTCGCTGTTAGCGTTTTTAAGTTTTACACCCTAAGAGAACATCATACTGCGACGTATGCGACATCTATATTGTCATCTTTTATATCCTCGTATAAATCAAAGTCATTATTTCAGTTGGTCAGACTTATTTGTTTCAAATTATTGAGGTTATAATATGATTGTTGTGTTCGGTTTAAAATGTCAAGATAGGCTATGATATGAATACTCTCTAATATGTCTCTTGAATATTCTTTAATTCTGGAGTGCCGGGTCTTAAATTCTTTCAAGCATGACAGAATAAATAGATTTTTATTGACAAAATATATAAAACACGGAACAAACCATATTATTTATTATTTTTCTTTCGTTTATAATAGTTTTGTTACAATTAAAAGTGAGATCGTATTTGAAAAACCATCCTCCCGCTACAAATGATCACTTACCACAAATCTATTGACTTTTACACGAGGTGTCCTTGTTTTGTCTGAGCTTGTCTCCCTCATTGATTCAAAACGTGCTCTTAACCTAGAAAACATAATGAATTTAACATTCATGTATATAACATAAGTATTTTCAACAATACTACTGTAGTAATACAATAAAACTACTCATATAAATGTTCAAAAGTACATCTTGTGTAATGTTTTGGCTGAAAGGGCCGGAACATTTAATTTTGATTTTAGATTAAATTACTGATTATGTGTAAATAATTTTTTTATAAGTCATAATTTTCTGTTCAATAAATCCTTAATCCATTTTTCTCATTTAGATTTAGAAACGATTTAAAAATATTTACGCATGTACGTAATAATACATTTATTACGGAATTCCATTACATGATGAGAATCAAACATTGTTGATACAAATACAAAACAGTTTCAATATTTTGTTAGATATTTAAAGAACACAATTTCTTTGTAACTGTGACAAATTTGGATGAAAAAATATCAATCAGACAAGTTGTCACGGAATCAATCACACTGAGAATGGAAAACGAAAAGAACAGGCCACTACCTTTTGTGTGTGTTAATCTGAAGGATATAGAATATGTAGCCAAAGTGTACAGAACACCAAACCACACCAACAAATATTTAAATTATCACTCAAACCGCAACATAAATATCAAAAAGAAAGTGATCAAATCACTATATGATAATGTAGTCTTCTTAATAAGACAAAACCCTGCTAACAAAGATCTTGAAAAAAAAAAGATTATCCATTGTCATTTATAAACAACGAATTTCACAAGATTGCAGAAAGGAAACAACACAACACCAAAAACGACTCATAAAAAGAAAAGAAATACTCATAAGAAGAGATTTGAAGATACCAACAATACCGTATGTAAAAATATTATCAGAAAAATTGTAAAAGGATAGGAAATAAATACAACATCGCAACAATATTTAAAACAACCAACACACAGAGGTCTATTCAGTTGAAAACCAATCGAAACAACACACAGACGAGATCGAAGAACTGCATCTATAAAATACATTGTAAATGCAACAGTTTGTATGTGAGAAAAAAACTCAAGACCAATAACACAATAATAAACAATTAGAATGCCCACTCTCCATGGAAAATTAAGTATGCGCATCTCCTTCGCGCAGACGTTCCGCCATGTTTTAGAGGGACAGTGTTGTTTATGTGGTGTGCATAGACAAAATTAACCCGGTTTAATTGACTTACGGCAATCATAGACATAATACACAATTAGGTATAAATTAACACTGTTAAATCATGATATAAGGAAACAAGGTATGCTCACTAGGTGGACTCGTTTTTGCACATTTCTGCGCCGACCAAAATCCACCATCTTTTCAATATGTCACATGCGTGTAGGGATGGTGACCTGATCCCGTACCAGTTACTTTGGAACATGTATTTTATTTGTACTTGTGGAACTGATCCCTAACACCAATATATTATAATAAACGAGTACGGGTTTCATTGCATTTGTCCTTAATTTTTATCGTGCATTTCTCAACGTTTACAAAGCTTTAGATAAATATCAACAGATGACAATTGGCGTGAAGTAGACAAAACTATCGCCATTTTTTTATGAACTTTTTATACAATCTCTGAATAACAGTAATTTAAGTATTTGAAGTTTTACAGTCATTTAAATAACTATAAAGAAATCTAACAAAATACAAATAATGTTGTCGTTATGTTTAGATATCTATTAAACGAATAACAACAAACTGATTTCCAAACCAGTATTTTTCAACAGGTATATTTGTTTACGCGTATCAGTTTGACCTGATCCACAAAAATACTTGGATCAACCACCTCTACATGCTTGACGTCTGCTTTGTTTTGCATTTTTTTAACCTTACTTTGCAATGTATTGGAATTTAAAAGTAAATTTGTTTCGATTTTTTTTTAAATTATTTTAGCAAGAGTCTGTTCAGATCATTTTATATCTGAATAATTGGATTAATGTAGAATATTAATTTTATTTTATTTATTTTAACTACGATATTTTTTATCAAATTTGAATTGCCGCCTTCAAAATGGCGGATTTTGGTCGTAAACGCGATTGGCTGTTCAAAATAGATGCGCGTGAGCATACCATGTTTCCTTATATCATGCTGTTAAATACAATAACATAAATATAATAGAATTAAACATAAATATAAGCAATTACATAACCTCACAAATCATATGTCTGTGTTATGTGTTTCCATCTAAAACATGGTACGCGTGCTGAAAAACTTCAAAGGCGGCATTTGAGAGTGCGCATTCTAATTGTTTATTATTCTGTGCTTGGGACAACGAGCACAGAGTACAATGGTACAACATCACCCTCAGAATGGCACTCAAAATATGGCTATTTGCCTACAAGATCGAGAACAATTAAGTCAACTGTCAATTTGGTTGCCACAATGCGCCAATGAAAAAACATTTGAAAAAATATATTAAAAATATATATAAAAATATATTATCCAATAATTCTAAAATTATAATTTTTCTAAAACGATTTCCAGATTTGAAATCGAAACGCAAAAAAAATGTAAAATGTAATAAAGGAAAAGCATGAATTTCCTATTGAGCATCAAACTCTTGTGACAAAATGGATTTACTCACAGGATTTTGGCTGTATGTTGCTGTCTGTTGTTTTTCTCCCGAGGGAATGAAATTATATACTGCATTTTCTTTACCGATTTATGAGAATACAAACACTATACACTCGGTTACATGAGTTACTTTGCTCTTGTATACTGTGGAATGTGAAGAGAGTGAACTAAAACTTTTTGTGTGCAAGACAAAAAATACTAAGAGCAATGTTTCGTTAAGTTACTTTATTAAAATTGTGAGGGCGAAGAGGAGGAAGTAAATTTTTTGAAGAAGCTTAAGCTATTTGAATGTCAAGGAGAAGTGGCCAATGGCCTTTGACAACATAAGGTATTCGGACACTGGCAAGTTTCAGGGGTGGCGGTAATTTAATTTAAAATAATACAAATTTATAAGTTTAAAGTTGGTTTTCCAACAGTAATTCTAATTACAATTAAGTAATTTAATCCCATATAAATAGAATATTTATGCTTTATATTATCTATAATAGCTAATTCTAATAATTTTCAATTTGTCATTGTTTAAAAACTTACGACTTTGTTGATTCAACCTGGGATTCATCACCGTATTCTTCGATAACGTTAACACTTTGATTTTGCTCTCTTCTTATTTCTTGAGCTTCCCATTTTTCAAACTTGGCTCTGAGCTGTCTTGCTCTGGCTGCTTTTTGTGCCTAAAAACAACATATATTATTACCTATCAGAAAATTACATAATCCGGTTAATACATAAATAATATAACCGTTTACAAAATTAAAATTAATCACTGATACTTTTAAGACATTTTAGTCAGTGGCACGTGACGCTTAACATGCGATAAGTGACAAAAGATAGTTAATCCGTACAAATTTGAAACAGTGATAGTTGTTTTAAAAAATTCTGTTACAGTCTGTTCATTCAGCTTGGGAATATTCTGGCAGATTCATTGTCGGGAATATATTTTCACCTTTCTCAGAAATTTTTCATTCAAAGAAGAAGAATAATCATGAAATGAGAGTGTATACTCATTAATTTTGATTAAAAACTTTCTCTTTTTTTGACTATAAAATTGAAAAAATAAGCTTTTGTTTTAATTGATCCAGTTTTATTTTGTTAATAAACTGCATGTGAATATTTGTTTGCATAAAATATTGGCTATAAGCAGGTATATAAGCCCCGAATATCTGGGGCATATAATGAGAGGAAGCAGATACAGGATAATGCAGTTGATACTCAACGGAGAGATCGACGGAAGAAGAGGAATTGGTAGAAAGAAATCCTCATTGCTCCGAAACCTTCGTCAATGGACTGGCTTATCAGCAGATGAATTATTACATGTCGCGCAAGATCGAGAACGATATCGGCAAATCGTCATGGAAGCTACCCACGCCTAAAACTTGGGCACGGTACTCAAAGAAGAAGATAAGCAGGTATGCTTGGATGTATAGTAATTTCCAGCCACTGTCAGTCGGTCAAATTTAACGTAGCAAATTATCATTACTCAATTTTCTAGATAGTTGGGACTGGGATCAATCAGCGGTCCGAGTATACTAAATGATTTTTAACAGATAGAGAGGATACTTACTTCGATCAAATCTTCAGGTAATTTGTGGTTATCAGTTTGATCCTCTTCATCTTCTTCATTTTCTTCCTCGGTAGCCGATCCTTCTTCGCTTTCACTTTCAGTTCTGGTAGGTTCTGGTGGAGGAGTGAATCGTTTCAATGGTTTAGGACCTACAAAAACATAAGGTAACAAGTTTTTAACAAGAACGGCCTAGGTTAACTTATAAGGTGGGTGTATCAAGTTGTCGTGTCGAATCATGCGGGTTTGGTTCCCATTGTAAACAAATATATTGAAAGAAGTATGTAGGAAAATATTTCCTTAAGTAGTTAAGTATATCCTTACTTTTCCAAACATAAAAAGCTAAACTAGAAGATTACTGTACCTGCTGGTTCTGGGTCCTTGGAAAAGCTCTCCTCCATTTGTCTAAACTTGCTTAGCATCTTCGAAGCTGTGTGTGAAGCCTTAGCGACTTCCGAATCATCGACTGTCTCATCAGAACGAATAATTTCGGGATCATGGTAAATTTCACGATCGGGAGTGTCAGACTAGAAAAGATTTTTAACAGTGGTAAAGCAATGCAGTCGTTTTGTAGTTGAATGTTAGTAAAAATCACAACAAAGGCGTTTGTAAGTAGTTGTGTATTTATACATACAAGATAGAAGCAGTCGTACTATAAAATAGTACGACTGCTTCTATTTTGCACAAATCTATCATTTAACACTGTGTACAATATGTAGTCATGTAAAGATCTTTTTTAAAATAGCAATTACTGTATAGATTTTCAAACTAAGTTACAAGAAACAAATATGAGATCAAACATCAACCAACCTTTGTTTAATAAATTTATTATAATATCGTTTTATAAAATTATCATCAGTAGTACTAGGGTTCTAGTGGGTCGAAGTAGCTGCAAATGAATGTCTAAAATGTCTCTATTAGTGGCATACACACAAAAAAGAAATATGAAAATATGGGAGCAATCGTCTTTGATAAAGCGGTAAAGATTAAAAAAGCCACATCATAAACATCGTACACATTGTTGGAATAATAATATACGATTTAAAAAATAAAACGCTCTTTACTTCATTAGTATTGCACAAAGAATAAATATTAATTGCAACAACATTTATTTGGTCTCGACAATTTATGATAAAATAAAAAAAATTAGGTACATATATGGAAATACATGTTTAAAACATTACGAATCACTACATTTTTTTGGCAACGCAATGGTATACCCGTTAAAATATTATTTAAAATGACTACCCCTGATTATTAAATTCAACTCACCAGTTATAATTTATAACTATATTTTAGTTTCGAAATTGTAGTTACTAAATTCCCAGAAATGGTGATGACCATTCTTAGTCTTCCAGTGGTCTACAATTTTTTTTTTGTAACGGGAAGTATACTTGTATTGAACAATTTTTACAAATTGTATGTACTACTATTCTCTCCCTAGCGCTAAGAGATTTCTAAACAAATATGTGGGATCGGTCATAAGGCAACTGAATATTAGACAGAGGATTATATGGACTATATAATATGCATACAGTATGCTCAAATTAAATAAAATGATTAAATTTATCAAAATCTAATTTACGTGAAGATTTGTAAGTGATGAAATTATTGCCCCAATTACAAATTTTATGATAAACCTTGGAATATTGATATGCCAGATCCTCAAGATCTGGTATTTTTCAGTTGTTTAATTAGCAATTCATATAATTCGTCCTGGGTAAATGAATACAAAACCATTTTAGTTGTTGAGTTATCGTTAACAACATTATCAAGTACACATGGTACCTACAGCTGCGGGTAGGACCTGGCAAAGTAAAAGACATTATCAGTAAACTGATGCTGTAAAAATATTTCTACAAATTCCTTGTAGTTTTATATGAATCGTTTTATAATAACAGGTGATTCAGTTAAACGGCACGATTTGGCAACGCTGCTGGCGAAAAAATTAAGGAGCCGGCGTTGTGAATCTAGAGAGTGGGGAGTTTAGTTATCATGGAGAAGTGGTCGGGTGAAGAAGGCGCATTTGCTGTGAAAGCTTATTACAAAAATGGTGAAAGTTTTGTGCGTGTACAACGAGCGTTTCGTTTACACTACCATTTGAGCTACGCGCTCTAGTTCTGCCTAACACGGCTATTCAGACCTGGGTTAGAAACTTTGAAAGTAGTCGTCCAACATCACAGAAAAGATGTGGCACTGTCAAAACTGCTCGCACACTACAGAATATTGAAGCGGTGTGAAACTCATTATACGCGAGTCCGCGTGTCCTTAAATCTGGGATTTAAGTTAAACACAGACTCGTCGGCTGCCGCGCGGCTTAAAACGCATGAGGCGGTTTAACAGCGGCAGTAGTTTTGCCATTGTATTCGGTGTTGTCAAATTTAGTCGAGTTTTGGACGTAGAATGGTATAATGATGTCTCTAGAATCATCTAGTGAAAGTGACGACGATTTGTTTTTCCTATTAAGTGAAAGTTTACTTCATATTAAATCATAGAAGAATAAGAAACGCAGGTATTGGATACATTCTATAGTAAAAGAGTGAAAAAATAAAGGAACGTTTTACACGTTAGTTAACGAAATTAAAGACGGCCCAGAAAAGCATCTTTCGAGATAAAACTGAGGGTAGCTTCTTCCCAAGTTTGTTTTTTCTTTATTTTATTCGAATAATTATCTGAGCGCATATCCCAAATTGCTGGCCGTGTGTGAATTTCGGTAATTCACACGTCTGTGTTGAAGCACGAGATATCTATTACTGATGTGCCGCCGGAAGTCATAAAACCGCCGACGGCGTATGACACTCACCATAGGCCGCGCGGCGGCCGACGCGGCGAGCTGACGAACGACGGCTCGTTTGTGTTGCACAACATAAGTACTATAGACGAGAGACCACTTTCAACGCCGCCGCGGCCGCTCTGTCTGTGTTTAACCTAAGCTATATCACTACGAACAGAATTTTGCATAAAGATCTCCAGGATCATCCATATAAAAAATACAAGATGGTGTAGAGTGCCAATGACGATATTCCCTGGCTACCTCGTAGTCCGGACCTCGGCGACATCTTTCGTTGGGGGTATCCTGGAGTCGAAAGTGTTTTAAACTAACCCCAGGAACTATCGTGGCTTTGAAAAAACGGATACGCGAAGACGTGGAAGCAATACCTCAAGAAATATTACTCAATGTCGTAAACAGCTTTGTACGACGGCACTAAGAATATGTCCGACAAAATGGAGGCTACCTTTCCAATATCATCTTCTGAACATTTCTTTAATTACACATTAATTTCGATCTGTGTGGGATATGTTTTTATTAAATTTAATAAGAAGATATTTTTTCAGTTTTTTTTTTGTTTTTTTTTTTTAAATCGTATCGTTTCATTGAATCACTTCGTATATATATATTAGGTACATTTGGTAGATAAATCAATGTTAGGTTTGACACTATCTTCTCCAAATCCGTCTCAAGGATTCAAAGAAACTATTAACATTGCCAGAAGGAGATCTATAGCAGTTTAACAATATATAGTTATTTTTTAATTAAATATGATTTAGGTGAAATACCATTTTAAAATGCTTATTAATAAAATATTTGTGGAGGCTTATTACATTGCAAGACAAAGTGTTATTTTATCCAAACTGCAGTATGACCTCAATACCTGAGCAACAATAATTTACCGCTAGATAAAAATCAGGTGAACATGAATGATAGACGCCACATTTCAGAGAAAAAAGAACATTTATAGAATTAAAAACTTCAATGATATTTAATAAATCATTGATTTTACCAACACGCAAACTTTACATTAAAACATAAAACAATAGATGCTTTAGTTTGCCCAGAAGGACAATTTCGCTTTTGTTAGTTGTCCTGGGAATTTATGGAAGCTTTTATGTCCTGGGAGCTTGTTTATCAACAGCTGGTTTCTTAATAACGACTTTTTTTCCTACTATTACTGAAATACCTTAGTACTATAGTTGACCTGAAGCCGTTACTACGTTTTTATAGAAAAATCTATTATACAGAAAGATTATGGTGGACTCTGTGAAAAGAATGAAAATATGTTAGTGAAAGACGTTGTAGTCAATGTAGCGATTTGACTAAAGTGTTCACAAGAAGTGTTCAAAGATTTTTAAAATAGAAAGATGGTATAAGATTTAATTTTGATTGCAGGGCATCTGCAAGCCGCTTATACGTATTTCAACCTCGTTGGATCTCATCAGAACGAAATATGCAGCTGCTCTGAATCGAAACAAAATCTCTCCCGTCTCTCTCTTCAATCCTGACCCCCCAGGGGGAGTGTAGTGGTCGACGTGATGTCGTGTATTGTCCGTCTCCAGAGATCTCTGTCTCTGGTCATTTCTTTTAATTCATGCATAGGTCTTTGGCATATTCCTGTAATTTGATCTATCCATCTTGTTGGGGATCTTCCTCGTGATCTTCGGCCTTCTACCTTTCCTTGTATTATGAGTCTTTCCATGTTTTCTGTGTTTGCTCTCATAACATGCCCAAAATCTTTTAATTGTTGGAGATGAACTTTACTAGAGAGTCGTTGGCTAACTTTTAGCTCTTAAAATTGAATTATTTGTTCTACGGTCGGTCCAAGGATTTCGTAACATTCGTCTCCAACAGAACATTTCAGTGGCGTCTATCTTTCTTCTCTCCGATTGTCTCAGAGTCCAAGATTCACATCCGTAGGTCAGTATTGGGAATATTAAGCAGTTGATCAACCTCATCTTTATCGCTCTTGAAATTTGACAGTCCTTCCATATTTTGGTCATTTTTGCTGTGGCAACTTTTGCTAGATCACATCTACGTTTAATCTCTTCTTGTAATGACCCTGTGTTTGTGATTAATGATCCCAGATATAAGTATGAGCTCACAACCTCGAACCGGTCAATTGTGGTTATGTGTCAATGATTGTTGTGTAGTCTATCCACTATCATGATCTTTGTCTTTGATATGTTTAATTGCAGACCAAATATTTGACTTTCTTTTTCGATCAGTCGTATAAGTTCCATCAGCTCTGCTTGACTACTTGCAAGAAGGGCTGTGTCATCTGCGAAACGTAGGTTGTTTAGTTTATGACCATTTATTGAGATGCCCTTTTCCCATCCTTCAAGTGCTCTTCGCATAATATACTCCCCATATATGTTGAATAATTGTGGAGATAGTATACATCCTTGTCTGACACCCCGATCTGAAAGAAACTCGTTCGAAAGTGTGTCAAGTACTTTAACTGATCCAGTAGTGTGTTCATATAGTTCAGTTATAAGCGTAATTAGATGTTGTGGTACGCTTACTTCTTTTAGTATTCGCCATAAGTGTCTCCACTTGACCCTGTCGAACGCTTTACGGTAATCTATAAAACAGATGTATAGTGGGATGTTGAATTCCCTAGATTTCTCGATTATCTGTCTTATATTCAGCAGGTGTTGTCGAGTGCCTCTACCTTTGGTAAATCCAGTTTGCTCTTGTGGAATTTCTCTTTGAAGGAATGTTTTCAGTCTCTCATTGATTATATGTAGCATTATCTTGCTGGCATGGGATATAAGAGAGATAGTTCTATAATTGTCGCATTTATGGAAGCTGTCTTTTTTATGTATGGTCATTATCGTAGATTTTGTCCAGTCTTCAGGCCATTGTTTGGAATTATAAAAATTATTATTAACAGACGCTACAACGCCATCTAATAACAACACTAGGAATTCTAAGATTTTCTACATGGCAAAACTAAATTAAAATCTTTACCACTGCGCTTTCTAAAGCTTGCAAAGCAGGCAGATTGATGAATTAGCCGGCAAGGGAATCTATAATTTGCATTCCACATGCCGTTCATCATGGTAAAAAATCTTAGTGAATTTAGTTTATGGTACTCGAAACAAAGTAAACAACTAAAACAGAAAAACGGTATAAAATTTAAGTTTTAAGATTTAGTTTCGTCAAGTAGGAAATCTTAGAATTACTAGTGTTGTTAATTTTAAAATAATTCAAACAACGTAAGTCCCATACGTCTGTTGAAAAAATTGAAAATTGAATTGAAAAAAACGTATTCAGCGTACGAGGATATTAAGTACGTTGTTCGAAAAAATTCAATGCTTTCTTAAAAAAAAGTTGCATCCCAAAATAAACCTCGACGACTTCATACCCAAAACATCACGATTATATTATTGCGAACAAAAATCTAGTATTAAGACGAAACTTAGGCTAAAGGGCTTCAATAGCTCTAATAGGCTCAAATAAAAAATCAGGTAGCGAGAAAAAACTTAATTTGGTAAAAATACTTTTTTTAATACACATAAATTTTTAGTTCACGTAACAAGGTACACGATGCGTCACTGTATGTGCAGTGAACGTCCAGACTGAGTGATATACATCACTCCCTTTGGACTCACTTGCGGCTTCGATTAACTACTGTTCTTTTTACTGGTGAGCGTTGTCAAGATTTATGAGATACTTTAACAAGTCTGTTATTCTATGACTATTTGACTATACTTGAAGTAGTAATTTAAAAGTTGATAAATTATCTATAATCAAAACCTGACAATAGTGTTGTCATTAAAACTCAATTATCACTTCTCAGAATTTAGTACCTAGAATATTGAAACTTTACAATACGAAAATACCAAAAGCTAACAGCTTTCGAGCCACAGTATTTCTGTTTAGGCCATACAATTTAATGTTTAAAATGAATAGTTTAATGTTTAAAATGAATAGTTGTCAAGACCAAAGTAAAAAATCAACACAAAATCACGACCATGCTGCTTTTCATTAACCTTCACTTGCGATGGGTCTCGTGGTGGCGTAATCCTAAACTGCTTCCTCTCTTTCTCCGGTTCCCTGTAGGTTTCGAAGAACTTAAAACGTTCTTGTATATCGGCCGTTTTGACCTCAATCACTTCTTCTATCTCTGAAGATTTTACCACATCTTCTGAGACCGATTTCGAGTACGCCTAAATAAGTAAATTTTAACTAAAACTTTCAGGGATAAACTGATTTCATATAATATATACTTGATATATTATAAGAAAAGTGCAGCAAAATATTTAAGAATATCCTCTCGAGTAATTGTAAGAGATTTCAATAACATAAATGCAATAAGTATTTGTTTATCGTCGATGATTGTGTTGTAGCACGTTCGCAGTAAATAAATGTGAATAAGCATGATCAGGATATCCTAGAACACAATCATCGTCGACGAAAATGAATATACCGATTATGACGTTATTGTAAAGGTTTTATTTTATTATTTTTGGACTAAAACTCACCTCTCGAGCTTTTTTTACATCTACTTTGGGTACAGCAACAGGTGATATGCTCTGGGGCTGTTTGGCAGCATTGGCATCAAGTTCAAGGAATAAGGACCTAGATTTCTTACTAATTTCTGAAATACATCAAAAATATTAATAATTTTAACTAATTTTTCAGTTCAATGGCGTAAAATCCATAGATTTTCACAAACATGACTTACCACTTTGGAACACTTCGGTATCATCTGAGTCTCCGTTCCTGGATTCTCGTTCGGTTGCCAATTCTCCTTTCTCGAATCTCTCTTTCAGAGACTTAGTATCACAGGACTCTATTTTCTCTGATTTTACGAGATTTGTGCACGATTCTGATTGCATAACGGCTTGCTGGTATGCTTCCTTCATTTTTCCTTGTTTCCCCTGAAAATTAATATATTATTAAAAACCGTTATCTTCAGAATTTGCGTATAATTTCTTCGATGCATCGAAGAATAGGAAAAATATGTAAATTAACCAAGTTTAAAACGGGTACAACGACAGGGTAAAAAAATCGGGTAGAACGACATTCGAATTTATATCTATATCTTACTAAAGGCCGTTAAGCGTTGTCACACCAACCGATTGTATTTTATATCAAATTAAAAATATATTTCTCTTTCAAAATATTTTTTAAGTAAACATATATTTTAGATTCTTGATTTCAACAGGATCATTTGGTGAAGACCTTGCCACTGTGACGTACCCAGTGTTTTGGGGGGTTAAACCCACCACTCCCCCAGGGCATATAAAGCAAAAAATATATAAAGAATAGTAGGAAATGTAACTTGTCTTTTACACACAAACAAAAATTCCAAAAAATACAAAAAATCCAAAATGCTAATTTAATAATTAAATTACCACTTTAAATATGTAGAATACAATAATTATTGTATAAATACACAATAATTAATAAACAATGATTTATAATATTTTTCATTATATTTAGATATAGATACCTATTATTAGGCCTATGATAAGAGTAGACAGAACAAGTCTGTTGCGAGTAAAATGCGCCTACAGGAATGTATCTGCGACGGCCTTGTGGACTATCACGGGTTGTATTTCTCTGCATGCGTTAGCAGTAGAAAATAGACATCTCTATGAGAGAAGAGAGCATTTGACAACAGCCATAAAAAAATAAGAAAGGGAAAGATCAATGGAAAGATGGCAAGAAGAGTGAAGCAAGACGGAAGATGTTGCCCAGTGGATCAAGATACTGACCCCGAGCCCAAGGGACTGGGTAGATTGTCTGTTTTAGGGTGTATCTTCATAGGTTCAGAAAGACAGATACAGATAAATGCCCTGCGAATATTCCGACACTGTTTCTCACACAAGACACAATGGAGAGAAACAGAATGTATAGAGAAATATGTATGAACCCTGTGACTGTTGTGAGAAAGATGATCCTGAAGATGACGGGGAGCAAGGAGGGATGGAATAGTGTTCACAATTACATCCGAATAGTAATTAAACAAAAACAAGAAGAAGAGAAACACGAACCAGACCAACGACAGAGATAAGAGAAGGGAGTGTTCCAAAAATGTGTCAACTGCACACAAGTAGGACAAGTAGGACAGGGTGGTTTTAGTTGGTAGGCAAGATAGAGGTAGCAAAAACCAAACACCCCCCCCCCCAAGGAAAATTCTAGGTGCGCCAACGCCTTTCAATAATGTGATGTGAACACAACTGTTGCCATCTAGCGCCCATATAGAGCATAGTCTCAGGGTCCCTAAAATTGGGAGTCTTACGTTGCCACGCAGGGTATATATTAAAAACTAAAAACATCACACCAATGTTTAACAAAAATGTAATAAACTACAAATTTTGTAATGATGATAATGATGTTAAATGATGATTTAGTGTCTTGACTCATGTAGACCTGATGATGGACTTTTTAGCCCAAAACGGTCTGTTGTGATGTAGCCCGAAAGAGTATTTTAATTTATTTATCTTTTATAAAGGATTTTATATAAAACTTTTGTGATTTATGGTATACAGCCAACTACAGAAATTTTATTTTTCTGGAGGAGTAAAATTAAATTTTCAATTTCTATCTAGTAAAAAAAACGAAACTTACATCTTCTACCTATAATTTTTTTGTATGAGCAATATCTCTCGAGTTATAGGCGAAAATATGGGCGCAAAAGCAAAAAATTTTTAAATTTTTTTTCAGATTTTGTTAAATAAAAAATTAAGTTTTAAGGTTTACATCCTGAGATGATTCCAGTAAAAAAATAGACTCATGTGGAAATTGTCTATCATGGTCTGCTTTTTTACAGATCCTGCCTGGACTATTATGTTTTGGCTTTGTCTGAATTATGTTACTTAATGTACTTAATTATTAATAAAAACTTACCAAAAATAACTTATTCCTAATAGACTGGATCTCCTGTTTCCTTTCCTCCCGTCTCTCATCTTTCGAATTCTGCTCTCCCTGTTCCCATTTATTTTTAACTTCGTTAAGATTAGTAAAATGGAACGGTTTTTCTTTTTGTACCTTCTTGGCCCTGTATAGAGTGGGATCCTCTCCATCAGGCACTTCCTCCTCCTCTTCTTCGGCTTCAGAAGAGGATTCTTCGATAGGTATTCCATTCAAAGCTTCGTCCGATACACCGACGTCCATGCCTTTAGCTTGGAATCTTCAAGAACAGATAAATATTTGTTAATGGAATGAATGGTAATAGTAATGAAATGGTAAGAGCATTTAAAAAATAAATAATCTCTCTTTCTTTAATAGAAATTGGTGTATTGATAAAAACAGTGAGTGTAAATATGGCGATCCAAGTTCAATATTTCGTTTTTCGGTGAATTCCGCTATATTTTCTGGGAAGTAGTGAGACACTGACCAAAACTGACCGACATGGTCATAAACATAAACGGAGAAAAGCTTAGGCACCTGAGGTTTGCAGATAATATTGTACTAATCTTAGACCATAAAAACTGATAGACGCGCCGTAATGCTATTCTCTCGTCTCGAGGAGTGAAGCCAACATAAAACGATTCACTCAGCTGTGGGTGACGTCAGTTTGCGGCAGAAACGGTAGAGATTAGAAGTGTTTATACGCGTTGTAAACTTTTTAAAGTGTTTCAATTTAAAAAATTTCCAATACATTAATATTTTAATTATGGTGGCATCTTGCAGTGCATTTAATTGTACGCAGCGATAAAAAAAGGGACAGATATATCATTTCATGGGTAAGTAAATTCACAAATTAAACTTGAAAAACGTACCAGAAATTTAGCACCTAATATTTTACTTTTTCCTCCCAAACTGTTTAAAATAGATACATATGAGATAGAGAATCTTATATATAATTTTCATTTTATAATTAGATTGAAAACTACAGGACTAAGTAAATAAATTGTTTTAGATTTCCTAAAGATTCATCATTGCAAAAAAATGGATTATAGCGATGCGCCGTGAAAATTTTAAACCAACAAAGAGTTCTAAAATTTGCTCCAAACATTTCACAGCGGATTCGTATATTACTAGCGGTTGAAGTTAAAAAAAAAAACAACTAAAAAAAGATGCTGTACCCAGCATTTTCGATTTTCCAAAACATTTAATTAAGCAAGTTACAACTAGAAAATCTACAAAAAAAAACTGTTTCAGTCAAACCAACAGGATCTAAAAGGAAAAATATAAATATAACGAGTGAGTCTACTACCATAAATACTCCAGTAGAAATTTCAGACGAAACTACCTTAGAACCTACCTTGAAAAAGCGAAGACATTATCTTGGTGACTTTGAACAAGGATCATCTAACAGAGACCAGGGGTATAAAGTAGTAGTAAACAAATTAATTCAAAAGAAAAACAAACAAATCGAAATGTTGCAACAACGAAATAGAAGGCTTATTAAAAAAGTAAATACCTTAAAATCTTTATAAGAACATCTTAAAGAAAAACAGATGATCGATGAAGATTCCTCTCTGAAACTTACGGTAAGGAAAATTAATAAGCATACAAAGAACATATGTTTGATCATGAATTTGAAACAAACCATTTGTTTAATCTAATAAAGATAATTTGTTTCCAATATTGCAACATTAGATTGTACCACGAAGTTGAAAAACTAAATAATGTAATAAGAGTTAGAAGTAAGTTAACAAAAGCTATTTTGTTTTGTGGTCAATAAACAAATAGATTTACTACATATTTTTTTTACCTAACCTGAAACTTCCACCCAAAAGAAAATTATTCTCCTTTAAATTTATTTTTGAATATCAAACAAGAAGTGATATACCAACGATGTATATATATGTAGGTATGTACTTTCAAATAAAACATTTATTTTTACAATTTAAGGCAAAAATATTTATTAATTACTTTGCTAAATAATTTATCTTCCATATTTTTTACAAAATATTGAAGTTATATTAAAATTAATCTAAAATTGGGTAATTATATTAGTGCTTTGCTAAGAATCCAAGCGGGCTCTTGCCGCATTGTGACGTCACTTTCGCGGAAGGTCTTTGCTTCAACGGTTCGGTACAAGGCGTGTCTATCAGTTTTTATGGTCTAAGGTACTAATAGCTGATAGATGAGGCCAAAGAACTTTTAAATCAGCTCTACCTTTCCTCGCTAGAAGGGGGATTGAAAATAAATATATCTAAAACCCAGATGATAACAAATCTTGTAGTCAGCGAAGACTATGACAAAGAGAACAGTGAAAAAGATCCGTGTGGCTCAAAGGGCGATGTAGCGTGCTATATTGTGCGCTTCACTGCAAGATAAGATCCCAAACCGCCAGCTAAGAAGAAGATCAGTAGAGGCTGTAGAGAGAATAGCAACACTGAAGTGGAGCTGGGCAGGTTACGTGGCTCGAATGACAGATAACAAATGGAAAAAGCAGATAGTGGAATGGAGACAAAGAGATAATGCCTACCGAAGTAGAGGTGGTTTACCAACACGTTGGACTGACGATCTAAAAAGTTGCCGTAGGAATTGAATGCAAGAAGCACAATATCGAAACACAGAAAATTATGAGGGAGATCTATGTCCAGCAGTGAACACTCGAAGATTGACAGAGAGAAAGGGACGAAAGAGATAAAGGTGAAAGGCAGATGTTACATATAAAAGTTAAAAATCAATTAGAGAAGTGACAAAGTAAGAGACATTACGTAGTATACGTAGTATAGTTAACTATACTATATTTAGAAAGTAACATATAATAACTTCTCATAGAAGAAACTAATTTGGTAATCACCCGTGTACCCTAAAACGTTTTCTACCTGCTACTGTTAGAATAATGGACGATGAGATAAGTAAACAGGTCATACATCAAGGAATTACATTAATTTGTTGTGATTCGTTTAATATAATCAGATCAGTTTTCTCCAGTCAATTGTACGTAACCGTAAAGTAAGAATAAAGAGATTTGAAACTTGTGATTATAAACCAGTCAAAAAGTTAAAGATGGACCATTTATCACGTAACAAAGGGTGTTACCTAATAATAAATATCAACAATTATTTTCCTTAACAGAATCTTTCAATAACGTTGACAGTATAGTTGAAATGTCGTCTACAGCCAAGGGATATTGAAAATCAACTATATATAAACTAGGTAAAAGAAATAATACATAAGACTTACTCACAATCAGTTTAATTTAACTATCTAGACGACCGGTTTCGCTTACTACAATTTGCAAAGCATCTTCAGGTCTGTAGATACAAAGTTAATTAAGTGCTAAAATAATAAAACCCATATTAGGGTTTTGTCTTATAAAGATAAACAAAAGATCTTCTTCTTCACACGCTACCTCCGCGACGGAGGTTGTAGCACAGCTTCAGTAAAACAGCACTGTTTTATGTATTTAAGACCTTCCAGACTACATAAAATCATAAGTGTTACATATGGTTGAACTCGTATTGAGTAGGAGATTCCACTAATGACTGAATATACAGGGCGATGAATTTGAAAAACCAAAGTAACTAATAATATAAGAGAAACGCCAAATCTGCCAACATTGCAAATATCAAATATGGAATCTCCGTATCCCAAAATAGGTGTACCTCAAATTTTGTACAAATATGACTTGCAATTTAAGAGATAATTGACGGTTTCCAGACTTTTGGGCCACTCTGTATAGGCACCCGTGGAAATAAAACAAATTATGAAGAAGAGCTCAGGTGAGATAAAGTGATCTTAAGAAATATTCTAGAACAAGATGTATGGCAACAAAAACCAGTGAAAGAGACAAGAGCTCGGAATAGATAGATAGAGAATAAGAAATTATATTTTAACTAATATAAAAAAAAAGTAAATAGTACCACAAAAAGGAAAAAAATGAGAATTAAATTATTTAGTAGAACTAGGCTGTAATTAAAAAGAAAAATGTTATCCTATAATGAAGACAAATAACGAGAGAAGTAAGCATTGGACAATGCTTCCACATTCCAAACTAAGACTTTTCTGAAATATTTGACAGCATTGAAAAACGTTGCATCCAAAAATATTTTCTGTTACTCATAAACTCCTCTGAAGGTCTCTATAGTTTCTTAACATTCTAGGATAGTCCAGAAGTATGCGGGGCTACCATACAAGTTTTCAGAAACATTTCAGACTGTTCTGAGATGTGTCAGAAGCATTTGAAACGTTACAGCACAGTACTGAAGGATCTCAAGTTGTCCGAAGCCTTACATATATGTGCTTGAAACATTAAAAAAAAAAAAATACATGGAAACACATCAATGTTATACGATGTGAGAAACTTAGATTTGTACGTGGCAGTGTATTTTTATAGCCTGAAAGTACGCATGATCAGTCTACGATTATAATTTCGTCGACTTTACGACATTCAATTCAAAAACAGAATCGCCTATTGTGTATATCGATCTTGATATATTTGGTATACTGATGTTAAGACTGTTAAGGGTATCAACTTACTTTTCACCTCGGGTAAAACTCGACAGAACTCTCCACATGGCATTCATTTTTACAACTGATGTTTAATAAACAACACCTCATTTAATTTTAGTACTAAACGAAATGACTAGGATTAAATAATCTTTTCAGAATTTATAACATTGTAAAATCATAAAGGTATTTTTGTTTATACTTATTAAATCGTAGAGATTTGTCATTGAAAAGAACAAACGAATGGTGCAACAATTTAATATCATGCAAATAACGTTTGGTTCGCAGAAATATTAATATTGTTATTATCCAGTTAAATATAACATATATAAAAGATATATTTAGAGCAATTGATGGTTATGAGGTACTTTACGTCAGATAAGAAAACGAACAGAGAATGAGATCATTTATTAAAGACAAAAATATCAGAAGTTACGAATACAAAATTTAAGATATTTAAATAAGGTCCACTCTTGATACGTGAAAACTATACTCCAAGAACACAAAAACTTAATGTATATTCGGTTAAAGTGGGTACTTAGTTAATTGGACCATTTTTTATAGACCATTTTAACAAACGATAATTATAAAATGCTGCTTAGAAATGAATTTGTATCTGTCCTGAAAAACAAGTTTGGGACCAATTTTAATGAGATATGGTTTCCGCAAGGTGGAGCTCTAGCTCATTGTGGTGTAAATGTTCGGCGTTATTTAGATCAGACATTTCCTGTACGATGAATTGGTAGATTAGGTAGTGTTGAATGGCCTCCTCGTTCACACGATTTGTATCCTAAATATTATTTTTATTGGGGATAGTTAAAAAGTAGAATTTATAACACTAAACGAGCAAGTGGTACAGAGTTAAGGCAAATAATTATCTATGAATCAGGCGAATGAAATAATTTGGCAATGTAGCAAACTTTTAATTAGTATGTTCTCATTTGGTTGTACATAGTTTGAGTCTAAAAATTTATTGTGATGATTAGGCGTTTATAGGCTTTTGTTTTATCTTTTTAATATGTTCCTGACTACATAAAATCGAAAGTATTGTATCCGGTTGAACTGAAATTAAAGTGAAGATTTCAACAAAGGTATAATATACAGCATATTGTACTAAAAAGCCAAAGTGACTAATGATATTAAAATTTTTTTAAATCTGGCAACATTGCAAGTATCATATTTTAAATCCTTAATTGTGAGATTATTGGGTGTTTCCAGACTTTTGGTTCACTTAGTAGAAGGCTTTTACGAAAAGAAAATTTAAGAAAATTGCACAGAAACTTGAAAAAAAAAAATGAGAAAACTTAACGATTATTCTAGCGTTTAATGATTTTGCCTTTTATAGTTACTATGATGCAAATATCGTCTAACACCCTGTTCATTCCATCGGAATTTTGTTCAGTTTCTAGTTTATTCAGTGAGTGTTTCCAGAAGGTTTTTTTTTTTAAATAAATTATAAACAAGAGTTAACAATACCGCCGCTATCGAGCGCACAAGGAGATTCAATGGAATCGAAATCAACAACGTACAAATGTCGCGTTTAATCCCCATTGACCAACATTTAATTATAACGTTCAATTATAACAATTCAATTATAATCGATTATAGTTTAGAGCAAATCGTGGCTATTTGACAAATGAACGTACATACCTAGATTGCAAGACATTTAAAGGTTAAAGGTGAAGCCACTGGATTGTGTTGACGTCATGTATTGTTTCCGGAAACGAGCTAGATTCTATACATTTTTTGACGCATATAACTAAGACAGAACAACGTCTATTGAGTCAGCTCGTGGCAATATAAAACACCTCTTACGATTTGCTACACATAAAACAACTCATACTCATACCAACTCATGTACTTCACTTTTAGACTTTTTTATGCATATAAGACTATACACTATGCACTACTACATTATCGACGAGTAAAATTACCAATTTTGCCACGGAGGCCAAGAGAAGACAAACGTAGTAGAGGAAGACCACCTACACATTGGGCTGACGACATCAGGCGTATCACAAAAAATTGGCAACAAAGAGCACAGAATCGCAAAGAATGGATGAGTTCAAGGGAGGCCTATGTCCAGCAGTGGACGCGATAAATGAAGGCTGGATGATGATGATAATGATGGTATAAGACTACCTCGCAATAAATAAATAATAATAAATACTGAACAAAAAAAGGTAACTTTCGGTTTTCATCTGTTTTCTTACCTTGCGAGTTTGGATAAAATAGATGGTGATTTCTTCACATTGACAGGAGTGGGTCCTCTGTCCATCTCTTGAGTTTCCGACTGAGTTTGTTGGAAAACTTGAAAGCGTTCTTTCACATTTAAACTCTGGAGTTCCTCAAGACCCAGGTCGGGTTTGTCGCTTGCTGTAAATAAAAAAGCACAAGTTGTATATATGCAGTGATTAAAAAGAATAATTACTTTAGTTACGCACATCATTTTTGATAACAAAAATTCAGGTTAGTAGAAGCACATTGAGCAAAGGATAAAGCTTTTTCACTTCGAAACCAGGGGTGTTTACGTACCAATGTGTAAAAAAATTGTAAGTATTTCTAAACTATATTTATAACTTATAAATAAAATTTGAATTGTTTCTGCTTAGAACTTCGGTCAAAAAAGTAGTTCATATATGGAAATCTACGATGAAATTTAAATGCAGATAGGTGGCGAGTATTCTTTAATCTTTTTTAATTTGCATCCATTTCATACAGGGTTGACTACTCACACAGTCCACAATGATATTTGGCAATATTCATTTAATTTTGTGAAAAAGCTGAAATGATTTTTATTCCAAAGGGGTCATCTTTTAAGGAAAAAGATATCTCTTATTTGTCAATACCCTTCCTTCCAGTACCACAAACCCTTAATTTAAATAGGAAATAGACCATTTGTAATACATCCTTAGACATACATTTTGCTGCATAATTCAGGCATTAATGATTTTTCTTTTCATATTAACTCTATTAACTATTAAAAGTGTGACACCTCTTAAAACCTAAACGTATCGCCTAGTTTGCTAGTGTTAATGGCACATTCAAAAACTACATTGAAAATAATAAAAACGGGATGTGGCACGTGACATGAATATGAAAAAAACAAAAATGAGGACAAACACAGAAGACCCCAGACTTATAACTATAAACGGCAGTGAAATAGAACAAATCCAGGAATATATATCTACCAAGGCCAAATCCCGAGACTTGACAAAGAGAACCAAAGTGCGGAAATTACTAGAAGAGCAAGACTAGGATGGGCAGGATTTGGAAAACTTCGATGGATACTTAAGAACCGCAAAATACCCCAATAGTTGAGGAGCAAAGTGTTCAACCAATGCATCCTTCCTATCATGACATATGGATGTCAAACCTGGACCCTAACCAAGGCAAACATGAATAAACTAGCCACAACAGAAAGAACAATGGAAAGAGCAATGTTAGGTATACGACTGTCAGATAAAAAGAGGAACGACTGGGTAAGATCCAAAACAAAAGTCGAGGACATAACAATAAAAATTGCAAAACTTAAATGGAGCTTCGCGGGCCACAGTGCTAGACAGAAAGACCAACGTTGGAATACTACAATACAACATTGGAGACCTTACGAAAGTAAACGACCAAGACGAAGACCACAGATAAGATGGGTTGATGACATTAGAAGAATAGCCGAAACAAATTGGAAATATGTTGCTCAGGATAGAGACCAATGGAAAGAGTTGGGAGAGGCCTATGTCCAAACATGGACGACAGAAGGCTAAGAAGAAGAAGAAGAGTGGCACTGACGGAAAAGCATAGCTTTCTTATCGTCTTCTCTCAAGGCGATGGTTTTAAATTTAATTTATTTTAATTTTGAATTTTATTTGATTTAATTTGATGTGATTTCATTTCTTTCATTTTATTTTATATTAGTTTATTTTAATTTTATTATATTTTATTACATTGCATGTCATGCACAATTCGACTAGGCGAAAATTGCTACACATAAAGCTTGCAGAACAAATACTGGCGTTTGGCAGTGATGCCATACCCTTATATAATGTATATATGTTATATGTTTCAAATACAAAGCTGTAAAGCTGACCTCTTTTTCATACCTCTGCGACCTTTTATACCTTTTTCCAAACTACACAACTTCAGATACAAATTCCACCCAATGCCGTCTTCGTGGAAGCATTTTCCGTGACGTGATATCGTTTGTAATGTAAGTTTAAATTCAGCATTTTTGAGGCAATTTCAAATGCCTCATATATGTCGCCAGCACTCAAAATCTAAATTTCATGTTATGTTATAGGTTCTGAAGATGAAGCTCTATTAATGGATAATCCACAGCGAACGGTCCACAGCGTACCCTAAGGGTGCGTTCATTACGGAGATCATCGCATCGTATCCTCGCCTAGAGCATAGCACTGACAGTGAACGCGCGCATTTAAAATAATGCATTTATTTTACCTAAAATCGATAATATGATACCATCCTATGGTCCGACCGAGAGTCGGCACCTCGTTATGAACGCACACTTAGAAAATCATGTACCTTTAATCTTTACATACATGATTGTGTATCTGAGCAAGGTCATATGTTTGTGTGGACAGTCAATTGCAAAACGAGGAAGTTCCGAAATTGCTAGTGTACTTCTAATGTATATAACCGATAAGCCACCAAGATCTGAAAATCTTGTAGCATTTAACGACAACTGCGGAGGTCAAAACAAGAATTGGCTAATAATAGCGTTGTGGCTTCAATTAGTTAGGGAAAAATGTTACAAAACCATGGAACATTGTTTTCTAGTATCTGGGCACACTCATTTGCCTTCGGATAGAGATTTTGGTTTAATAGAAAAACGTAAAAAATATGTTAAGCAAGTGTTTTCTTCAGAAGAATGGATTGTGAGAAAATCAAACAGGAAAAATCAATTTGCCGTGGTTGAAATGTCCCAAGATTTTTATAGTTTTGATGAGATAGTTTTCTAAAAAAAAAACATTTACCACCGATAAATAACCACTTAACTTTACAGACGTGCGCAACTTTCGGTTTAAAAGCGAACACCCCAATTTCATATTCGTTAAACATACGCTAAATGGGGCGTTTGATGAAGTAAATGTTGGTAAGAGGGGTGTAAAGTTTGGTGACAACATATTAATAACAAAAAACCTGGAAAAAAAATATGGAGGACCAATAGTACGTAACATAACACAATTCAGGATTTAAAGAAACTTTTGCCATATATTACCTCCATAAACCAGCAGTTTTATCTCAATATTATTGTAAACAGTACCAGTTACATTTAACAAGACTATCACCAAGTTGATGAAACAGAAGAAGCAGACAGAAATGACGAAACCGATTTAAAAAATAATAAAATTGAAGGTATCTGGCCTTTAGAATTTATATTCGTTTTGTTATTTTCAAAAAGGTCCTAAGCCACAATTGTTTGTTTAATTTGTTAAATTTTTTCTTAAAAAATGCAATTTTCTTTTGTATCATTTTTTGAAAAAATATATGTAATAATTTATTAGATATGTAAGAAATTAAAGTAAAACTTATAAAATATAAAAAAATGATTTCTGGATTTTGTCAAAAACTTTAAACGTGATTTTCTAAAAACTTTTCAAATGAGGCTTAGGTCCCTTATTGCCCCGACGTCTTCAATTCTAAAATTGCTTCCTAACTTCATACTAAAATATTGTTCTGAAGATTTTTTCTTGTGGCATCTTAAAATAATTTACTTTATTTGGGGAATAAGCTACAATCTTAATTTAAAATTAAGTTTACTTGGCGTTAAAGAAACGGAAATCGAAACGTCAAATAAACTATATTTTAAAGTAAAATTATGGTGTATTCCCAACAAAAATAAATAGTAAATTTCATACTAAAACTCCCTTGTTTTATTTATGAAGGTTGCAATGATATTATTGCATTCAAAGATATGCAGAATAAATGACGAACAACACTAGCATCTATCTACTTGCTGTAAATTTTGGGAAAAACGTGATATTTTATGTGAAACTACAATGTGTTTACTTTCTTTTCAATCGATACTTTCAAACGCCCACTTTTTGAACTATATATTATTATTTGACATTTCTATATCTCTACAACTTTGAAAGTTCAATGGTTTTCTTGTTTTAATGAGTTTTATAAATAAAACGTGTCCCATTTATCAAACCATGATTTAAAGCTCTTATAAATTACCTGAGTATTAAGGAAACATAAAGATTTTAGTAGGCAGTGATACACAGTCAAGTAGAAAAATAGTTTTATTTATCGAGTGGGCACACAGCCAAGAATTTAACGGTCAGGAGCGTGAATAGGTACTTCCTAAACTACCTACTCCGATATTTGTCACTTCTTTATTTAAAAGCTATAAAAAAAATCCATTAAAAGAACAGAAAAACATACCAGGAAAATATCCATTCAAGTTCCTGTATGTTCTTCTTACAGGTAACAATAATGTCGAATACATATTTATAATTAGGAAGGAATATTCGCAATTTTTATATAAAAATCGAATACAGGTGTTATCCTCAGATACCGAAAATAAAATAAATTAATATTTATCGCTTTAAAATCGATTTACGGTAATGATCATTATAAAAACTTTCACCAAACCAGTAATGTGATGTGTATGTGGACAAAGCGATGGACTCCCAAAACTGGCCAATTCAAGATAGTCAAATTCTTTTAGAAACTCGTCTAACTGGATATGCAATATCGATATTTTATTGTGTACTAATTTCACTTCAAGTTCACATTTACGGTAAAAAATTCCGTACAGCTCTACCATCTGATACTACGATTTAAATTAATGTTTTTTAATTCGAGAAAATATTTTTTAGTGACAGAATTTATAAACAAAAACTAATAGAATAAAATGAACCTATTTGTTGAGATTAAGACATTAAAAGACGTCTACAGATAAAAACAGGAATTCTGAGATCCAACCAAAAATTGGTAAAATGGAAATAGAGCACTGTAAAAAGAAAATAATAAAGTGCCCAAATATGATATGACTGAAGAAATGTTAAAAATTGAGGGACGACTATCATCAACATCAGGAGTATAAATTATACATTTAAAAAGGGTGAGTGATAGCACCTACAAAGTGACCTATAATCATCGAGCAAAAAGACAAAAGAGGGAATGTAAAGGTAGTGGTGGCACACATATTGTTAGACAGGAAGTGCGATGTTTAGAGGCCACATTAAACAAGGAAAGAGAGTCTCTCTCCTTGTTTGACATCAAATTTAGTTGGGTTGTGTTATTGTTTGTCCCAAATGTCACATGAAATCTTATTTATATTGAAGTTTTTTAACAATTGTGTCACATTTTAGACTATTATCGTTAATAATTAATTAAAACTTTCTCGTCTA